ATTGATCTTACCTCTTAGAGGGTTTGGCTCCCAGGTCCCAAGGTTACCAAGATCAAGCATGATTACATGGCGTGTTCTATTGCTGCATCGGACACCTCTCCATAGACAACAATCTTTTTTTCCATCTTCATTTTCCCTAGACGAGAGATGACCATAATCGTCGATGAGGCTTTGCTTGACCATAAGCAGAGCTTGTCTTTCCTTCTCTATGCATTGGATCTTTTCTTCTCTGGCACTTGGGTTTAAGCCATTTGCAATTCTCATGCACTGGCAAAGCCCGAAGAATATAAGTAGAAATAGAAAGGACGTCAGCAGTAAAACCATTCTTGTGATGGTCATGAAACTATAAGATTCAAAAAAGGATGATTTGTTGGTTTTAATTACAATGAGTAGTAAATTTGCTTCGTGCATTCCATTATATAGAGCTCAAATAGTATTTATTTTGTTTTATTTTGTAAGTAGTATCATTTACAAAAATATTCATGAATTCTAATTACATGAGGAAATAAATGTAAACATTTGAATAATAAGAGTAGGTCATATAATTCCAATGCACAACAGCTGAAGGATCTACAAGATAGAATAAAAACAGTTAGAAAATAAAAATAAATTAAATTAAAATATTAGAACTATAGTGATCATTCATAGTTCCAAACATTAAACTGATATTGAAAAAAACAAAAGTAGGGAACTGATACGATGTTGCCTTCTTCTTCCTTCCTTTGCTTGAGTCAAACACGTCTGTTTGCAGCATCATTTTAGCCATCATCAACAAGAAAAATAAGCCTGCTACTGTAATCATAATCCTTTATTTTCTGCTACCACTAATCTAGATATTAATTAAGTACCAATGATGGAACTAAGATTTCACATTTAAAGGGTAAAGATAATATTTATAAAATAGTCATATTAGAAGTTTAATGTTTATAAAAATAAAATTTTAAAATTTTTAAAAAGCAAAGATATATTATAAAATTTTAAAACTTTTGAGAAAACAGAATACTACTAATCAATCTCTATTTCCTGGACCACTAATAAAGGCAATAATTCTACAGCATGAAAAAACCTAGTATATCAAGATCCTTTGACATTCTAAAATTGACCCTATTATCTCCTCGTTTTTCATGACAATCTCCTTTGTGACTCACATATGAACTCTCAATCAAGAAATTGTACAAAGAAAAGGAAAGGCATACCTTCCAAGACTTTTCCAATGCTTACTTTGACTCGATTCTAAAGGCGTTACGGAGCCATATGTATGTGAAACATATATGGCTCAATCAATTTGGGTCCCAATTTTAATTAGACAACAAGCCAAGTGAGACATATATGTTATATCGTTACGAGTTAGAACAAAAGGTGTTACGGAGCCATATGTATGTGAAACTTTTGAATTTTCCTTGCTTGTTTTTTCTATTTTGGATTTTAGTATATCATGTACTCACTATTTTCACATTTCTTTTAGAATCATTTGTCTTTACTTTTGGAAATTACTAGGAAGTATCCATTGAGCCTGCCTTAATCTTTTTTTCCTCTTGGTAATTATTATCTTGGAAAGCAGTCTGTCTTTGGATTTAGGTCATCCATCTAGTCTGTCTGAAGATAGTTGATCTCCAATGTAGTTTCCTATTAATCTTTGAACTTAATTGAAACAAGCATGCATCTCATTCCATCTAAAGTTATTTAGTGATGGACGAAATCAAGGTTAGTAGGTTCTCCGTCCTTTTAAAAGTTTTAAAATTTTATAATATATATTTATTTTTTAAAAAATTTTATAATTTTACCCTTATAATAATTTTTTTATTTGGTGAGATTGCCACAGCAATTAATCAAAAACTAATTTTAGTAGATTTAAAAGACTAAAGTAAATCTTATTTTAGCAAAATTATTCCTTCAAGCTCCATTGCTTCAAGACCCCACGACCTTATTCTCTTCCTTTTTTGAACTTCAGTTCCATTCTAGTCCTCGATCTTTAGGACAGTAAAACCTGAGAAACATTATGTTTGGTCTGGTAGCTGACAGATACAGCAGACAACCAATCTAGCTTCTGAAAACAGAGGCATCTATTCTGTCCTAACCATCATCCCCTAATAGCTTTTCATTCACAACAAGTGGTGTAGCTACTGATTTGCATTGCTCCATGGAGTTAGACGGAAGAATGAGGTTAAGGAGCATAAACTCAATATCCAGTTTTGTATCAAACTTAAGAAAGGATGAAACAGAACTTTCCACAATTCCTCCATCAGAAAGCAGATAAGCACACATAGACAAGAATTTCTTAATGCTAAGTAGTGAGCTCATTAATTTAAATATTTATAATTAATGAATCTTTAATATATATTTTTTGTAGTTATGAACAAGCAATTGAGACCAAGGAATGAAATCTGGAAATCTGATAATCAATGTTCAATTAAATATCAAATAGCAATAAAGTGACCTTGTAAAGAAAACAATCTGTGTACCATATATATTAGGCCAATAGACTCCTTAACAATTGTTTTACGACTAAAGCTAAAGGAAGTGAGATGCAAGGATGAGTAACCTCAAATGGTTAAACTTCCTCAGAGTTAATGCGATATTAATTATTTATATGGCAACCAGCCCATCCCTGAAAGCATTAATTCATAGACTCTGATAATGTTTTAGAACGCAAAACCCGAATAAATTTATTTGACCAATGAAATATCTATTTCAGCTAATGAAACAGGTACAACTGATGTCTATAATGTCATCAATTACACACAAAATTGTAAAATACATAGACCAGAAGCTGATTTCGAGGTAGATTATTCATCAACAAACTTTTCATCCTTTCAGGACCTTTGTCTGCTATGTTTCCCATCTTCCTGAATCCACAGTCCATAAATCTAGTGCTGCTACCTGTGACAAAAATCAGTTGTCTTTGGGTGAGTAAAATGCAAGAAGAAATCGATGATTTGAAGAAAACCAATATTAATAGGAATAGTCTGTCCACGTTGGAGATGTCATCACTTATCAATACCAGATTAAACTTTTAAAATTGATCTAAAATTAAGTATTCCAATTATATTAATTTCTTTTTACTATACAAGGGAAATTGTGAGCTTATGCCCTGTCTACACATTCGTGAAGTAGATTTTATTCCTGAACATGTTCAAAATTAGAACCTTAAATCTCATTCACCACTGTAACCTTAGTGAGTGGCTTTCAAAAGTTCATCTACCATAGATATTTATATCAATATATCAATATATTGTCATTAAAAAGTTATGTTGCTTACCTCTAGAAAGTATTAGTAGCCTCTAGCTCTTCAGCCTCCTCTGCAATCTTGATCCCCACAAAGTGATTGTCACGTAGGGTGAGTCCTTCAAGTTGTCCAAGAACCGGAAATATGCATGCCTCCAAGAACGCTTTAACAATAAAGGAGCAAAACCTCCCCAAAACCCAATAAAGAATCCGACTCCCATTCCAGCATAAAACCATTTGTTGAATTCATCTTCAATTTCACCATTAGGTGGTTGACCTTGGGTTGCTTCATCTTCAGGGCACTGCTGCGTCACTGGAGGCCCACATAGTGCCTGGTTACCAACGAAGGCTGACACTTCCATTGTTTGCATTTGAGTGCTTGATGGAATTCTTCCTGATAAATTATTATACGACAAGTTCAAGTAATTCAAAAAGTTTAGATCAACCATGCTCGCTGGGATTTGGCCCGACAGTTGATTTTTTGACAAATCAAGCGATTCTAACTGTTTCAAATGACCAATTGTTTCAGGAATGAACCCTACCAAATTGTTCCCTGATAAGTTCAATTGAACCAATTCAGAAAGGCTTGTTATCTCATCTGGAATTTTTCCAACCAATTTGTTTCCAGCAAGATTAATGATCCTTAGCAATCCAAGATATCTTTCGTACTCATAGTGTTTTCCTTTCCATTCAACCCATGCATTCTCAACATAGTTGCCTCTAAAACCACTTAGCAAATCACCATTAGATCCTTCTTGCCATGAAGACAGATAATCATATTCAACGATGTCATTTGAGTCTCCTTTTCGAGACATGGCCGTCAGATTATTTAAACACAATGGTATTGTTCCAGAGATGGTGTTCTGAGAGAGGTCCAGGATCCGTATATTTGCTAATTGACATAAGTTGACAGGTATCTTTCCCTTGAACTCATTACCTTGTAGGCTCAGATAAATCAAAGATGACAGATTTTCTCCTATCCAAGCTGGTATATTTCCAGACAATTTATTATTACTTAGATCCAAATATTTCAACTGACTGCAATTCTTCAGAGAAGAGGGCAAATCTCCAGAGAATTTGTTATTGCTTAAATTAATTGATTCAATTGACGACAATGATCCAGAAGTTCTTGGAATACCTCCTGAGAAGTTGTTATTAGCTAAGTTCAAAACCACGAGGGCTTCCCAATGAACAAAACAATCGGGAAATACTCCAGACAATGAGTTACTAGAAAGATCAAGAAAGCTCAAAACCTCAGCTTTAATCTTACATAAAGGAGAAACTGATCCTGAGAACTTATTTTTAGAGAGATTCAATGATGACACATTAGAAAGAAACAATGGCAACGGACCCTCCAACAGGTTTGAACTTAAATCTATTCCAACATTACTGAGAAACTTGGTTGATGATAATTGTGGTAGCATGCCATTGAAACTGTTATGAGAGAGATTTAAATGAGTTAGGTGTGGAGGCAGGACCCAAAACCAATTGGGAATAGTATCTGAGATTTCGTCACAGGAGATATCAAGTTGCTCAAAACCTTTTTGAGTTTGGAGCCATATTGGGAAGTGCGGCCCCAGTTTGCAAGAGGATAGATAAATATATTGCAACTGAAAAGGGGGGACCCAAACAGAGCTGAAATTCACAACCAAATGGTTATACGACAAGTCAAGAAACTTTAATTTGGAGAGATTTTTGAAAAGTGTTTCAGATATCACACCTTCAAAAGAATTCCAAGAAACATCCATATATTCAAGCTCCGATAAGCATCCCAAACTTTCAGGAATAGTCCCGTTTAATTGGTTACCACCAATTCTTAAATCTTTCAAGGAAGAAAGTGTTGTGAAATCAGGTAAAGTTCCTGTAAGTTGGTTTCCCGATAACTGCAAGACAGCAAGATTGGAAGGTTGTTTGAAATTAAAGCTCTTTGACAAAGAGCCATTCAATCTATTATCTGAGAGATAAAGCTCTCTTAATGAAGAAAATCTTGCAATATACGGTGACATTAACGGACCATGAAAGTTATTTCTAGATAGGTCCAAAAATTGCAATGAATTTTCTAAGCACCCAAGAAACCCAGGAATCATTGATCCACTGAAGTTGTTGTAAGAAAGGTCTAATGTTTCAACAGTACATGTCTTACCAAGGAACTTCGGAATTTCACCTTCAAAATTATTTCTCCATAAATAAAGATGTTTAAGAGAAATCATATTCTCAAAAAACTCTGGAATTGAGCCACCTAACAAGTTATCTGAAAGGTCAAGATCAACAATCTTGCTGGTAATATTGAACAATAATGTGTACACGGAAGAAGTAAGATTGTTTCTAGAGAGATCAATGGAAATTGGTGATGAAGTCGAATTAGTGAGGGAAGGTGGAGAAAGGATTCTCGGAAGCTTACACCCACTTAACTTTAAATCTTCTAGGTAAGGAAGCATGTTGAGTAGTTGCGGCCAATCCTTAGCATCAGCAAGGTTGTTCCAAGTAAGGTCAAGACGTCTTAAAGAAGAAAGACCATGAAGCCAATCAAGGTTGGAAATATTGTAATCATTTCCACTAAGATCAAGGAACTGCAATTCCGACAAATTCCCAAGCTGATTGAGTATTGTTGAACTTAATCCAGCACTATTTAGATTTAAGTATCTTAACTTGCTCAGTGAGCCATTAAAATTCGGGAACATACTTCCTTTAAATTGATTGGACCTGAGGTCCAAATATCTTAAATGCTGCAGATCAAGCAAGGAAGGATTGATCTTACCTCTTAGAGGGTTTTGCTCCCAGGTCCCAAGGATACCAAGATCAAGCATGATTACATGGCGTGTTCCATTGCTACATTGGACACCTCTCCATAGACAACAATCTTGTTTTCCATCTTCATTTCCCCAAGACGAGAGATGATCATAATCATCGATGAGGATTTGCTTGACCATAAGCAGAGCATGTCTCTCCTTCTCTGGGCATTGGATCTTCTTTTCTCTGGCACTTGGGTTTAAGCCATTTGCAATTCTCATGCACTGGCAAAGCCCCAAAAAATAAAGTAGAGATAGAAAGGATCGCAGCATTAAAAACATTCTTGTGATGGTCATGAAACTATAAGATTCAAAAAAGGATGATTTGTTGGTATTAATTGCAATGAGTAGTAAATTTGCTTTGTGCATTCCATTATATAGAGCTCAAATAGTATTTATTTTGTTTTATTTTTTAAGTGCAATCCATTATCTTTTACCTATCATGTTTTGTCTACAAAGTTACTGTAATCTCAATTTCGGACCCATATATATGTGAACCTTTTTGAATTTTCCTTGCTACTTTTATCTATTTTGGATTTTAGTGTATCCTGTACCCACTCTTTTCACATTTCTTTTAGACTTTTGTCTCTCTAACACCATTCTTCTTTACATATAAAAAGTCACTAGGAAGTATCCAATCAACCTTCCCTAATCTTTTTTCGTCTTGGAAATTGTAATTATCTTGGAAATCAGTCTGTCTTTGGATTTATCATATAAAAATAATTATATTATATATATATATATATATATCAAATTTTATAAACAAATTTGCTAGTTCCAATCTCATGCAATTCACTTTTTACGCTCCTTTTGTAGCTACAATTGTGATTCCCTCTTTGCCTTTTTGCTTTACAGTTGGAGAGGAACTTTTGTGGATGCTTTGTACAAACTTTTTTGAGGCCACTGGTTCACCTATGATCCTCTTTTATAATCATATTTATTGTCTTTTAAAAATAATAAAATTAATTAAAAATTAAGGAGTGACAGGTGGTTGGCTTGCCCATGTCCACTTATGTATTTTTTTTTTTTGAAAATTCCACTTATACAATATTAACTTCTACAATACATAATACAATTAGATAAAATCATGCATACTTTCTTTAACCAAAGCTTTGCCAATGCATTTATTACCCCACTTGAGATGAGGTTATAGTTAATTTAATTTTCATTAGTGATTGTACACGTTTCAATTCAATTTAAAATTTTTTACTCAAAAATTAAAAGAATAAATCGATAAAATTAAAATTTTCGAACGAAACGAATCAATCAAATTAAATCATTTTACTCAAATTTCATTTGGATTGGTGGTTTAGATCATTTTTACTTAACTTTATGAGTTGACTAGCAATGGATCATAATTAGAATATTTTGGGCCAGCCCAGAAGTTTTTGAATGTAAAAAATATGAAAGAAATATCCCAAAGAGGCCCAGCCCATTTTTACAAATTTTTTTTAAAAAAGCCCTAATTTCTGTTTCTCACCCTTTCTTTCTCCGTTTTGTGTGAATCAATTTCCTCCCAAATTCCCAAATTTCAAATCCCTTCCACACTCCCCCCTTTCTCTTTCTCTAAAAACAATTTAACTCCACAGAAGTCACGTGCTAATCACATCCAATTCACCAAAGAAGAAGGGGGAGAAAAACGAAAGTCACGTGCGATATATGGCGGCCTCATCGCCAGCCGCGACGAAGAGCACAAGCGATACAACCACGACGACTGCTACGACGGCTACAGCCACTGCTGCTGCTGCTGCTGCTGCTGCCGCGACACCTTCCCCTCCGCTACCGTTTCAACGTATGGACACGCCGCCTAAGACACAGCGTGGGCTTAATAAGCCTAAGTGTATTCAGTGTGGCAATGTTGCCCGATCCAGGTAGGAAAGTTCTGCCCTTTCTCTCTATTTCCTTTTCTTTACTCTCTGGGTTTTTTGAATTTCATGTGTAGTTATGAGATTTTTTATTTGTTGTTCTTTGTTTTTGGAAATTGGGTTTAGTTTATTTGGTCAGCAATTTGGAAGTTAATTTTGTCATTTGGTTTTTGTTTGGTCAGAAGATGGTAACAGTAAAAGCAGGAGCAAGCAAGTTTAGAATTAGACATGTGTCTGCTTAATTATATATAAGGAACACATTAAGTTGACATAGTTACTTGAATGAACATGTGTTGATTGGTTAAATTTGTTTTAGGAATTATAAAAGTCCAATGTCGTGTTTGAAATTTCTTTTATTTTTCTAGTTTAGTAAAGCGCTTGAAAAATTTCCCCATCAAATGACTCTCATTACTTGGATTACTGGTGCAGGTGCCCGTATCGCTCATGCAAGAGTTGTTGCTCAAAAGCACAAAATCCATGCCATATTCACGGTATGCCAATTTCAACATATTGATCAATAAAACTAGAGAAATGAGTTTTCTTTAGTTATTGTGAAATATGAGTCCTTTGGGTGACGGGATAATTTCCGAATTTGCTGTTGCTTATCGAAAGGTGGAAGTGGGATTTATAGGTCACTGGGTGATATGAAGTAAAAATCATGCTGGACATGGTTAGAATGGATATTTTCTTAAAGCAAATTGTAAAGATCTGGGGATTCTGTTTCATAGTTGTCTACCTTGATTCACTTTCTTTTGGACACCTTGGAATTGAAGACTGTGAAAGGATCTGTAAAAAATTTTAGTTTTACAGCTCAGTGTAGCGACTTTCACTACTATTTGTTGCTTATTTCAGAAGATTAAATATTTTAATTTTGTTGGAAATGGTCATTAAATTCTATCAAAAGGCTAACGATGTGGCGAGCATGGGTTTAAGTTTGTCTATAAAGTGTTCAGATAAGGTGTTGGCTAAAGTGGTTGTTGAAGGTGAAATGGGAGAATTTTGATGTAGGAATTGTTTCCTATAAAACTGAAACTGCAAATATCATTTACAAGATAGATTGTTGTAAGCATTGAGATGTTTTGTTTCCTTATATCCTCAGCAAAACCTAAAACAACTTGTTACTGCCAAAGTAGAATCCATGGAAGGGTTCTTGCATAATTCAATCCTGTCAGATTCTTTCCTGGGCAATGCTTGTTTTATAATTGGTAAAGTACTCAGGTTTCTGGTTGAGATGTGAGTAGTGTAGTTTGAAGGAGGTACAGAAAACATTCAGAAATTTAATAAATTGGGGGGAAAAGAAAGAATTTGTTCTTAATCCTTGAGAGTAGATATGCATTCTTAGGAAATGAAGCACTGAACATCATAAATAACTCATCTCCTTATTTGTACTGTAATTGCAGTTTTAAAGTCTAATTCAGCTTATCCAGAGAAGACACCAACTTCAAGCACTCCTTCATCAGACCAGAAGGCAACTCAGGCTTCTTCTCAAGCGTAAGTTGCAAAAACCAGCTACTGTGCATCTAGCTTCTTTTGGGCATAGAAGTTAGGTGTGACTTTGTGTCGCTGTCAGAACTGAGAATGAGAAGCAGATTACTGTCGAGGCAACTTCACTTACTATGTGAAATAGTTCCGGAACTTTGTTAGGCATGCATATTATAGTTCCTGCTTGACATGTGTAGCTATGTCGTGTTCATCAAATGGGCACCCTTGGAAACATACATCTAATCTGATATTTTATATATTACTTTTCTATCATTACCAATACTGTTTCCAGAATTCTAAATTAGCATAGGTTCCCAAAGCCCACTAATAATTGATGATTTAAAGCCTCTTGGAAATATAATTGGCTCTAGAATTTTCCTTTTGCTTTTTACCTTTCAAGTCCTTTATGTTTTCTTGTCCTCTCCATAGTCAGCTTGTTTTCCTAAAAATTTTATGGCCTTCTTACCATTTTGTTTTTCACTTTCTGAGTTGCTGAATTCATTATATTGTTTGTCCATATAAGTTGTTCAGCCCTATCTTTCTGAGCTTTAAAGTGATTTTTGATTTTGTCATTTGACATGTGGCTGTTTCCTTCCCTGTTGAATTCTATCCAGGACTCCTTTAAGGGTTCCCTCATTTCGGCAACTTTCCAATGCTTTTGCACAATTTGACAATTTGCAGGTCCGCTCAAAGAAACACCTGACAATAAAGGTGCAGTATGGCTTATAGTTAGCCAATGGTCTTTTTCAAGTTTGTTATATTACTGTATAATCCTGAACTTCACTAATCCCTTGACCTTTTTCAGGATGCTGTAGCCTTAAATGAATGGAGGTTTTCCAAGTTGAAGGAATTCAAGGACAGAAATATTGAAGTAGAAAATGAAGCTTTTGAGCTGTACATGCAGAATATTAGTTTACTTGAGGAAGTGTTTTCTACAAAATCTATTCACGAAGGGTCCAATGAGGATGAAGTGTCTAAGCCTAACCCCTCTTCTCAGGAAGATGAGACTTGGATGATGACTTCAGATCTGAAGTTGACACTAAGATCAGACCCAGTGAGAACTGATAACTCTAGAAAAAGGATACAACAAATTGTTGATCAGGGAATAAAAAAGCTTCAGAAATGTGAAGCAGATGATGGTGCTAATGACCCAGATGACCAAAATAAACATGGTAGTAGGTTGAACAAGTTAAAAACCTTGTGGGTTGAGAGAGCTTCGGTTTTAAGTGACTTTGTTGACAAGTTAAACAAAGCTCGAAGTGAAGAGGATCTAAAATCTTGTTTGGAGATGAAAGCACGGCTTTATAATCAAAGCATTGAACAAGCAGACAGAAAAGTAGCAGAAACTAAAGATGCTGAAGCATTGACCAAGCAGGGTGCAGAGAATGATGTAACTCCCAGAAAAGTAGCAGATTATCTGTTGCCGAAATTGTTTACACCAATTGTGATTGATCAAGAAACTATCAACAAAGTTGATGTACATTTCTCTTCCCTAGAGCAGATTGAAGATTTATAAGTTTAAGCAGGATTATTCACTGAGGGACAGACTAGATTCCAGGTTAACCCATTGAGCTATGATTAATGTTGATGGTTAGAATTTCTTTTTCACCCCTTTTTGGCTGAGTAGCAGTGGCTGAAATTTATTGTTGTAATGTAGCCCCACTTAATGTGCTTTAGCAGCTTAGTGTAGAAAATAGTGTTGTTGATATTGCAGTTACTCTTCGCCTGATAAATTTGAATGTAACATATCAGCATTTTTGTGCCTATTTTCGTACTTGCATCGCGTTGTTATTCTGGAGGGCTAGATCATACATTGCTTAGTTTAGAACTTACGAAAAGGACTTTTCTCATTTCTGCTGCTTAAAATTGCTTAAATGGTCATTGCAGGTTTGCATGAGATTCAATTGACAGATTTTCTGGAAACAGGGCTTAAACAGAATTAAATACATTTCAAGTTCTTGAAAGCAAAATCCTAGTTAACCACTGAATAATTGTAGTTATTTAAGTTGTGGTTGCCTTCATCTGGTCAGATAATGCCATGGAAATCCCACAACCACATTGCTTAGAACTAGTGCTAAGAAATACAAGATTGGCCTAGATCATCTTCTTAATACGGTTTGATTTCACTCCATTGAGTTACAAGGAATCAACAGGTTTCTTCAATTTTACTTGATGCTTAAGTAAACTGGATTGCAGTTGCCCTTAACAGGTTAGAATATAGTTAATTTGCAAATCAATTCTTCCAGAAAACTTGGACAAACAAATGACATGCCAACTTGATTTGCAAAAGGGAAAATGCGAATTACAGTGTCGGACTGCAAGGGCAAGAAGATGTTAGGTTGCATGCAAGGAGAACAATGAACATGCTGTTGAGAGTCTAACATTGCAGCCTATTTAAATCCATTACTGACCATTCTGAGCGATGTCTGTAGGAACAAGATAACACTCATTTTCAACCAGATGGAAACAACAGAGAACACAGGGGTAGCAGGGCCGGACATAAACAGAACTAATAAATCTTGTACTAAACAAGTTCAACAAGCCTTCAACATAAGAAATCTGTCTTTCCACTCAAAAAGTTTCCCGCACAAAAGAACCAACAAAAGTTGAATACAAAACTTTTTCACTACATTCTACCCTTAGTCATATGGAATCTGGATGTATGCAGCATCACAGACAAAAGGAATGTCAGAATACATGCCAGCAAGAGCACACCGTATGCACTCTAAAACAGTAAATAGGTAGGCAAATGCCACAGCTGTCCAAAAGTGCATCCCCAGCTTACCCCAGTAGACTGCGAGCGGCATCCACCGACTAACAGTCCCTATCACCTGTAGGGCAATTTCCAATAGCATTCCCATCACCACATGAAATCTGAAAAAGTGAGGCCATTCCTTTCTTCTTACAATTCCAAGATATGCAACAAAGAAATATGCCATCAAGAACCAGCTTGGCAATGTCCCAATGGCTCCAAGGAATGGGTAGGTCAAAAACTCAAAGTCTTCCAAGAAGTGGTGTAAATGATATGCTGTCTCTGCATACATCCATGTTTCATGGAGAGGCATTAAATAAGGGAGACACGCCAAACTCCTCCACCACCATTTAGGCTTCTTAGTCATTGGAGGATAGCGGAAACTGTATGGCACATCCTTTGATGCACGAGGCACCAAAATAGAGCTCCTACGCCTAGGAAATGAGGGCACTGTATGAGATAAACCACCCAAATCCCCACTTAACAGTGAGGTCGATGCAGCAGAAAGGTGCAAGGGAGGCAAACCTACAGAATGTAAGACCATAAATTAGAGAAATAAGAAAACTATTAAGGTATTTCTGAAGCAAAGAGAAAAACTAGAATGACCAAATATATGCTGAGGCTTGTAGGAAAACGTAATTTGGTTTTGTCGTGAGCCTAATTCAGAACATGCTACTTATCATATGCATTCCAAATGATGCCTCTTAGCGAAAAGGCATATTTATATACCTTTAACTAGCTGGGACTTTGAATCCTGATCTAGCATCCAAGAACTCCTGATTCTTAACAATGCATCTGTTGCAGGCAAACGAGAAATTGATGCAAAAACAGTGCTACATGGCATGGGCTTAGATAACCTTGAACTCATTGAAGTGCATCCAGAAGGCATGGTACATCCATGCGGAGTCATGGTCAGCTACCTTTAAGAATAATGTAGGGAAATTGATTAACAATTGGCATAGTGAAAAACATAATTAACAAATCATCACATAAACTAAGAAAATTCTCTCATTAAAATGCCTCCATTACAGAAATACAATCACATCAGGACTAGAATAGGGGAAAAACAGCCTTTGCCAAAGAATATCAAATTGTGTTATTTTAAGCTACACAATGGGAAGTAGCTCTCTCCCACCCTATCCATCTCGAGACCTGAACCCGAAACCTCCAAGATAGAGGTTCAAGTTCTAACCAACGGAACAAAGATAACTTTAGTATATGGGCAAGTTCATCTCTTTCGGGTTCAAATCAAAATCTGATCAACACCACCAAAGACCATTGATTAGATTTTCGAAGCATACACTAAAAATTATTCAAATAGGGATCATCAACAATATATTCCAACATAAATTACATCAAAACCATCACAATCATTCAGTTTAAAGGAATTGTCATAACCCACTAAATAGTAACTAATGATATGCAAGTAAAAATCATACATTTCCCCATTCACCAAAATTTAAAATTTTAATTTCTAATCACTCAAAAATATCATTTTTAATTTACCCAAAATGCTCAATTTTTTTTTCGAATATTAAAAACAAGAAATGAAAGTAACAATCGGACATAAAAACAAACCAGACAATAATGTTTTACCGGGTGCTTTTCCGGCGGCCAGTCAAACCCACAAGGCGGAAGGGCGAAGGTGAGGTCCACCGTCGCTGCGGAGGGCCGTCCTCCACAGGATTGTCCAGCTACCGAAACGCTGTCGTTTGAGGGGATACAAGGGGAGAAAATGGGGGAATTCGGGCTTTTAGAGGGTTTTGCTGTCGGCTTGCATGCTGAGGAAAATGGCATTATCTTTGAGGATTTATTACAATTTCATCCGCAATCTTTATCTTAATTATATTTGGACCCCATATGGTTTTCAAATTAACAATACTATACTTTAAAGCCTAATCATTTGTGTAACTTATTACTGAGAAAAAAAAAAGAAAAGAAAAACTTTGGGTCGCATTATTAAATTTAATTTGATTAGGCTTAGACCATTACAATTTTCCAAAAATATGGAATCATTTATTAATTTATCTTAGAATTTTTTTTAGTCTTGATTATATCTTGAGAGCATTGCTATCTTTAAGAATGTGATCCATATATGCTCTTTGTTATATCCAAATAAGTTCTTAAAATATAATTGTCAAAAATAAAATATTAAATAAATTCTTGAATTATCTTAAATTTTTAAAAAAGGCTCTATTTATTTATTATATATAAATAAGTCATGATTCTATGATTGTTAGCCATATCAATTTTTATATTGATAGAAAAATATTACATAACATACATAATCTTAACTATCATTAGACTAATGACGGACACTCGTGGTAGATGATGCGATTTTGTTGATCTATCAAAATTGATAAATCTTGGGGAATTGTATTATAGCATGAATGGTATCAACACATCATCAGTATCTAATCATTGATGCTTATCAGCTTGAAAGGAAAATTTTTATTAATTTCGAAATTCTTTGATTTAATTTCCTTTCGAATTATTTTAGCAAAAAATATCAATCAAATGAAATCTTAATTTCTTACGATATGTTATCTGGATTTATAGGAATGACATGGGTGCATGCCGCTACATTATAAACCTTCCGAGTCATTACAAACAGGAGGTGGCCATGGGAGACTGAGTTTGTAGAAGGCAAAGTCACGCCTATGCTGAGCTGACACAGACACTAGCAAGCTCACTGTGGCCAAGCCTGTAGCAACCAGTAAATTGCCTGTCAATCTGTCATGCATTGTTAGAGCCAAAGAAAAGATATGCTAATGGGTAAGCTTTATTGCCAAGACTAGTGAAGTCCTTTAAATTAGTTCAATCTATGCATTGGTTTTCCTTTTAACAACTTTGAATCATTCTAAAGCAGATGCAATAGCTCATCAGCCCGTAAAACCCCGTTTAATTGTTACAGCAATGGAAGCCTGACCAATGGGATTGCCGCACTAGGACTAATTGCTGCATCCACATTAACTTTTACTGATTCCTTAGTGGTTTCCATGTAGTAACCTCATCTGTCCTGCACTTTCACTTCAAGTTCCGGTTAGATTCTTTGGCAATGTCTGGTGTGTCTGTTGCTGATATGTTTATGGCATGGTGGTGGGTTGTGCTCCTTCTCCACTAAATTGCAGCTATCTTTTTCGATATATTGATTAGCCTGCACCATTTCTCTTATGAGATTTCTTGTGTGAGGGCATCTGGGGACGGATGGTTTACAATCAAAAAATGGATCATGAAGGTGGACATAGGAGACTGAGTTTGTACAAGGCAAAGTTAGGCTGACCTGATGCTAGCAAGCTCACTGTGGCTAAGACAGCAGCTACCAGTAAGTGCCTTTGCATTGTTAAGCTTTGCCAAGACTTCCCAATTTTTACAAATCTTATATGATCCCATATTTCGATTGTATTTCCTATTATTTTTACACTATGAAATTTTATTTTTACAAATTCAAACAATTTTTTGCTTTGTTAAATTTGGATTTTTTATAAAATATATATGATTGTGTGATTCATGATTTGAAAAAAAAGACAGAAAGTATGGATCTATTTACAATATGTAAGAATAATTAATCTCTTGTCCGAACTCGAAGAATTAAAATTCATCTGTAAATAGTGGAATATATGAAAAGAAGGAGGATTGTATGAAACGATTACTCCATGTTAACCTAAATTCATTCAAATTCATTTTGATGAAAGAACTTTCATATATATATATATATATATGAGATTGTAAATATTATTTGTTAATAAATATGTGAGGAGACGATTGAGTTTCTTCTCCAGAATTTTCTTTCAACACCTATTCTTTTTCATCTTCAATTTTCTCAGCATCACTGATAATGGAGGAACAAACCATCATTTTTCAGAAAAAAAGAAAGAAAGAAAAAGATCCAGCATTAAACACACGAAATTTCATTAAAGTGCATTCGAAATACAGATAAAGTGATTCGTACCCGCCAAGCACCAGTGGTAGTAAAGCCAATTAGATAGCTTTTAAGGGTGTGACAGAGTTTGCGAAATCATTGCTAGAAAGCAACTTACGTACATAGCTTTCCAGGTTTATTTATTCTTACTTACTACTTCACAGCATCCCCACTAGCTTGGGAACTAGCTAGTTCTACTTCTCATTTAGTCAAGTAGATGAGGAACGAACTTGATTTCGTCAGTGTCAGCTGAACATTTATAAGCATATCTTTTGGGGCAGTCTTGAAGGATGGATGGTGAGTTTTCCCTGCCCCTTCTAAAGCACAACCGGACCTCCGTCAGTTGGACTGTTCCGCCCACTTCGTTACAGGCAATTTGAGGATATACTCCAAGCTTTTCTTTGATAGCATCTGATATATCTTTTGCCATATAAGGAGCAAATCGGGGTATGATTCTGGTGCCTGCAGGTTGGAAAGGAGGAAATATAAAATCGATACTGCTTTCCTTTTTGTATTTTTTTTTTTAACATGAGAAATATATTCGATTTCAGTTATTTAGAAAGAGGTAATGTCCTCCCATTTCATGAGATGAAATTTTAAATTCTAACCAATAGAATATCTTTTTATCGATAGATTTCATTAAAATACATTGTCTTATGATATTGGACTACATAATATATAGAAGATAACCCTCTTCCATTCTCCGAATATCACATCATCATCTTAGAATTTGAATTTGAGACTTTCACTGTGGAAAACATGTTTTAATGGTGAAATTTCAATTTTTTAATTTAAAAATTCCAAAAATTTTAAATAGCTTGCAATTTAACTTTGAGAGTTAGGTATATGGTGAGCTTCAAGTCCCCTTATCTATTGTCATGAACCCTCATTTAAATAAGGTTATATATATATGATTAAAGTTATAATTATCAGTATATTTAGTATTAAATTGTGT